AATCCCAATAGAAATTTATATTTTTATCTACACATTTTATATACATATATATATGAGTCATTCAGCAACAAAAGGAAAACAGGTAACTAGAAGCAATGGCTTTTGTTTCATAGAAATTTTTCCTTTTAAAGCTTTTTTTTTTTTAATTGGCAATAACTTCTAATAACTTATGTATTTTATAAACACATGATCTCTATTTACATGCATGTGTATAAGCAGCAAATGGTTTATATGTTATTAATTTGCCAAATATTCTGTTGCTTTCTTACACTAACACATTAAGTAGGTCTGTCTTAAGGTGCTTTAAATATTTTGTACATACTCTGATATTATCTCCTTATTGAGAGTAAATTCTAGTATTCAAGCCCAAAAGCATCTCGCATATGTAACATAAAGTTCCAGTTTCAGTTCAGCTAAAAAAGCTATAAAAGCTAAAATATGTTACCTGTCCTTATAGACACAGCAGGCCACAGCGTAGCATATGGTCTGTTACAGCTACTGAGGTTTTTAATTACTACTTCCATGGGCAGAGAGAACAGTTCAAAGCCACTTCCAACTGAGCATCTGCTGCCTCTCACATCCAGGACATAAGAAGTGCAGTATGCATGGTCCAACCAGACCAAGTGGTGTATAAACATCAATTTAAGCCCTAACTGTGCTGCAAGCATTGCTGTCCCATACATATAGCAATTCTTTTGTTGCTCAGTGATAGAAGTACCTCCTCACATAGAAAACTAGTTAGCATCTTTCAGGAAATACAAAGGGATCAAAAGAAATATTGCGTGAATCTTAAACCAAAAAAACAATGCAGGTGCCCTACTCCACAAATAAGTCAAACTGTTAGGACAATCTTGGTATTAAGTGAACACAAAGCCACAGTGACGAGTACCAAGGTTTTTAGCAGACATACCCTAGCAAAAGAAACAACTTTTCCCTTAAGCCTCTGTACTTGTTTTGGCTGGGGTAAGTTAGATTTCTTCACAGTGGCTGGTATGGGTTTGTGTTTCGGTTGATAATACAGAGAAGGTTTTGTTATTGCTGAGCAGCACTTGCACAGAGCCTTTTTTGCTTTTCATACTGCCAGGCTGGTGAGGTGATGGGGGGTGTGTGGGAGGCTGGGAGAAGGCACAGCTGGGACAGGTTATCCCAACTGACCAAAGGGATATTCCAGACTATATGGCATCATGCTAACATATAAAGCTGGTGGAAGAAGGAAAAGAGGGATGTTCAGAGTGCCGGTGTTTGCCTTCCCAAGTCACCGTTACGTGTGAGTGGGCCCTGCTCTCCTGGAGAGGCTGAACACCTGCCTGCCCATGGGAAGCAGTGAATTAATTCCTGTTTCGCTTTACTTGCACATGCGGCTTTTGCTTTTCTTACTAAACTGTCTTCATCAAAACCCAGGAGTTTTCTGGCTTTCACCCTTCTGATTCTCTCCCTGATCTTGCTGGTGAGGGAGTGAACATGCGGCTGTGTGGGGCTTGGCTCTGGCTGGGGTTAAACCACGACAGTCTCTTATTCAGCTTCTTAAAACACAGACCTTTCTCTTTTTCTCTCCTCTTTACTTCCATCTTTCATATGTCCTTTCACTGCAAAAGCAGCAGCTCTCAGGGCCAGGACTTTGGAAGGTTTGCAAAATGGGATAAAAGGAAAAAGCCTGCTAACCAAGGCAGTATGGAAGCTCCTAAAATGCAGGTTTTATAGCAGAAAGGTGAGGAATGGCTGCATTAAGAAAGGAACGAGTTCTGGTTTTGGTTTTTTTTAATATGAGTGTAACAATTTGGAGAAGGAAAAACTGTGGGTGAGGTACAGAATATTCAGCTCATTGCTCCTACTAGGACACTGGCTGGAGATGCAGAGAGAGTGTAGGGAGATGTGCATGCTTTTGGGGCAGCAAATGGGAGTTAGCCACCACTGCAGAAATAAAGAAGAGAGCTCTAAAACTGAAATGCTTGAGTAAGGGCCAAAGCAATTTAGTCTTCATGGAGGTTTCAATGCATAACAAAGGAATCCTTTTCCTTCAAACAGCATAGGCAAAGCCATCTCTCTTCATTAACTGACTGAATGGTGTTAAAAAGGCACAAAAAAGGACTAGGCTTTATAATACCGCTTTGTATTACTGGTACATGCAAACAAATTCGGTTCTGTAGAGATGTAGTGGCACATCATCACAGTAAATTATATCTTTTACTGCTTTGAGGCAGAAACAAATATATAATTTATGTGCATTCATGTACATAGATATAAAAAACACAAACACCAAGAGAAAAGCACAAAACACTATCCCTTTTAAACCATTCAGTTTTTAATTATATTTCAAAACAAGCAGGGAAGTTGTACAAAATAATGCAGCATAAGCAATTTTTTATCTAATGTAGCAGTTGAGAAAAAATTCCTTAGTCTTAAAATAATGTTTCCCCTTTTTGAAGTCAGGTTGTTTTTTATTTAAAAAAAAAAAACCTAATAAAATAGTAATTTATTGGTAGTATGGGGTTATGAGGCAATGAAAGTAAAATGTTGAAGAAAAATACATTTATGTTTGTCCTGAGCACCTCCTTAATATGAAAGCTTTCTAAACGAAAGAGATGTGGTGTGTCTTCTTACTTAAAAAGATTTCTAGCTTTGTATTTTTTCTTAGACTGTGTCTCACAGATTATAGAAATATGGCAACTTAACAACGCCCACCATTGAAAAATATATATACCTGTTCAAAAGCCTAATATCCATGTCACCAGTTTTCTAAAGCACAACACTGGAGCACACAGAAGGCAGATTTCATCTTGGTAGCAATATTTGGAAGTACAAAGTGGACAAGGACAAAGGACCAAACATTAGAAGCAAACACATTCCTTCTTTTTTAATCAATATCTTGTTAAGACTGGTGGGTTTCATTCATTAATCTTTCGGAAAGTGAAAAATGAAACAGATCTACCATAACAGCAAAAATAAAACTGAAAATTAAATTCATTCTATTGGAATTGCTTACAAAGAGTGCTGGTTCATCACACACAACTTAGTCAAAAGAGTTTGGACTTCAGAGTACTCATTTCTTTGAGGTAATGTATTTATAGGCAAATTTTGAATCCAAAAGACCTGAAAACAAACTCTCTAAACTCTTTCTCTTATACTGTGCACATTTTTAAAATCATGAAAGTTCCACCAAAAAAAGTTTTAAAAAGTATTGTGTTTTGTGTTTAATAGCTTCGAACAAACCTAAAACTGAACTTCATGTGACTGCTCTGTTGCACCTAAATGTTCACTATATTATAGCTGAGCCAGGACACACTAAAAAAGCTCCAAAAATAAAATGCCTGGAGGTTTGCAATGAATTGGTTTTAATTTCTTCAGCAACTGCTGCATAGTGATTGATCTAGTATCGTACAACACAGGAAATTAGCAATTAAAGGCTTCCATGCATCCAGCATGAGATCCTACAAATCCTGTTATCCACGGGAGCAAAATTAAAAGAGCAAGAAGAATCAACAAAGCTAAAAAGTGCATATTGTAAGCTGTGCAGAATTTGTCCTTTGGTGAAAAACATGAAAACTCTGCACAGACTGCACACATGGGAGCATTTAATGTAGGATTATAACTCAATTAAGACAACTATTTCTCTGATCCTGTAATTCTAAGGCATTTTGCAGATGGCTCTGAATTCCAGGCTGTAATACAAATTTCTTTCTGTTTTCTATAATATAAACTCACATATTATGTAAAGACACATTTAATCTTCTGTTTAGGAAAATAATCTTCACGATGTAGGTCAAAAGATACACTACTGTTCTAGATGAATCTAAAATAAGGTAAATCAAATTAACACACACAACATTAAATGTGAACATCATCCATATATGCAAATATGGCATTAACAATAAAGCTTAACTGATACCCTTGTTTCCTTAAGGAGTTATTGAGCACATCCCACAGCACAGGGAAAGAAGATTCCCAGCCCAGCAGGAGTCATGCCAATCCCAGAACTGGAGGCAGCATCACACACAAGGCTGCGCAAGCAAATTGCATGAGATTGCAACTTCAGACTCCAAGTTAGCCTGGAGATTGGTGTGTTACAGGAATAAACATGCCCTTTCTCTGTTCCAATGTGAACGAAAGTGCAACTACACTATCATTAATCATATGAGACTGGTTTGCTTCAGATTTGTCAAAACTAATTCAGCTTTGCTGAATATAGCGACAGATACCGGATTTATCTAGACCAGGAGAAGAGAAAAAGGTTATATAAACTTTGCTAACATAGCCAGACAAATTATATTGTTTATCCATGCCTAAACAAAAGGTCACTATTAGCTCAGGGTTAACTAAAACTTCTTAGCTAATCTCTGACCTAATTTTGACCTCTCCTGTTAATCGCAGAAAAGCTTTCAGTTAATATATTGATTAGTTGTGTTTACATCCCCCAATTCTGTAGTTTCTTGCCTTGCATCGCATAAATTAAAGACAAAACATCTTTTTCTAAGGTTAATTAGTAGCCAATTAGCTCCATGTTGTTACCTAGAGTGGGACCGACAGTAAAGACAAACATTAAGCATTTTAATCTGTTATATGAAGGAGGCATTTATGTATAAGAAGAAAGGATCAACAGACCCTTTATTTCACTCTGTTTTTTCCTCCAGATCATAGAATATTATTTCAGAAAACTTGTGATAATACCCAGTTCTTCTGCTTCCAGCAGTTCCCATTAGAAAGAGGTACAGTTATCTATCACCATTAGAAGTGAAAACCTAAAGAACACACGAAATCTAAGATCTGCAATCCTATTAGTAGGCTGTAACCAGACATAATCATTTGTCATTGCATCATACTTCTTACAGAGTCATTTACATAGGACTTGTTTAATTCCTTTAGTAGCATAACCATTGCATGTCAAGATACGGGTATGATATATTCATATCTGCAAGATCTCCCCATTTGCAGAAGACTAGTTTTTACTCAAGTAAGAGTGAAGCACCTGAGTTAAAATTCCAAAAATCATTTTTCTACATTGCCTTTTTTTTTTTTTTAAGTAGGAGTTGTTCAGTTTCTGGTAAAAACATATGCAGGCTTAATTTAAAAATTAAGTCTGAGAGAAACAAAACCTGACTGCATTGTAAAATATATGTAAATTTACAAAAAGGAGTTCTAACAATATAAGAAATAAAAATCTCAAAGTTAAAAAGAACTATCCAAATACCATGCCTTATGTTCATCTGAACCAAGTAATATAAGGAATTACAGTTTGAAAGCCTACTGTAATTAGATACTGAAGCTAAAAAGCTCAGCAGAAATTCAATATAATTCTAAATGCTGAAGCCTTACTGTCCCATCACATTCCTATTCATATTTCTTGTCTTTTTGTACTGATAAAAGCCTCCCAAAAATAAATTTATCCAGTCATATTGAGGATCGTATTTGACACTCAAGTGATAGCGTAACTCTAAATTATGTTCAGAGTTTTCTTTCTCTTCTTTCCAGGAAATGAGAATGATCTTCCATCATCTGAAAAAAAGGCACCTGGCCTACTGCAAAAATGAAAAAGCTTGTCCATTACTGTTTGTCATGTTGGTAGATAAACTCTTTCCTATGAAGGCCTAGAAGTTGTTTTATTATAGTACAGTCAACCATTTGGATCAAATCCAGAGTCCTATTCATTAGTGAGCTGCAAATAAATTCCACTGCACAGTCAGTACAGTTTTCTTATATTTTAACATTATTCACCAAAAGCTCCATTCTTCTGAGTTTGCGTTTATTCTTTGGCATTGGCTTGTCATATAAGCCATTTTTGAGAAGATGTTCCTTGCTGTGATGGATCTGGGCACCATGCTGAAGCTGGAAAGAGCATAAAGCTTGAAGTGGATGGAGTATAGTCTGCAAAAAGATGAAGGGGTGGGGGACAAAAAACCCAGCCTTTTAGTAAGATATTTTAAAGACATCAATTATTCTATCAATTTTTATTCAATGACTACTTAAAAATGCTGATAAAATATAATTTGGATGATAAATGCTGATAAAATATAACCTTTGGAGACACAGAAGGCACAGCTGAATAAGAGATGTACTGAAAAGAACTACACAGCAGTCATATATTCACCTACCTGATGCCATCCCTCACTCCTTCCTCGAATCCACTCAATCCTGACTTCAGCCCCAGCTACATTACTCTAAGTTATGGCTTTGACTTGACCTTAGTAATGGACTACAATCAATTACTGTGGCTCGGTCAACAAGCTGTAATAAAATAAGTCACAATAACTAAGCTGCTTGTGTTTGCACAAAAGTCCCTGAGGCAGGGTTTTAGAAAGAGAGGAGGGACTCATGGTCGAGGCAGCAGGACTGCTATCCTGGACTGTATCCATGCTTCCAGCAATATTTATACCTAATGATGCCACACAAACCAAATTCATCTCAAGAGGTTCCTAACTGTAGATTCTTCATTTTCTGGTTGCCTGACTCAGTATCAAACAACCTCATGTGCAGATGTGTACAGCAATCACAAATGTAACTGCAGCCAGCAGGAGCTAAGATTCTACTGAGAAAAACATGACTCTTACGAGCACAGAGGAAAATCAAGTGACTTATACTAGGCATCAAACTAAGTGCCCGTTTTTAACTTCCATAGCTTTCAACTTCAATTCACCATCTTATATGCTGGGAATAGCACTCAATTCAGAGAGCTTTCATGAATGTAGCTCTTGGCTGCTGCAACACTTTGAGAAACAGGTAATTTTGTCTTTGAAAAGTAGGCTGAGCCAGTTCTGAGTGATAAGGATGAAGCAATACAGGTACCAGAATACCAGATGGGTAACTGTGGACATGAACTAAACCCTCAATAAGACAGAAGTCCTAATGAAGAAAAGATATGTTGTTGTAGCACAACAAATAAAAAAAAAAATATAAACCCCCACATATATACACAAGTTTCTTGAAAAGCCTCTTTACACAGAGTTCCAATTTCTGAGCCATACTTTCTTGTGTGTCCACAGACTTTATCCAAGTCTAGTTTTAAATGCAATTGATTTAATGCTAAGGAAACTCTCTACTGTCACAGAGGCAGATATGGAGGTGGCACACTATACACTATGCAAGTGGTAGGAGTAGTTTTTGACCTGAGAACCTTTTATAGTAGACAGAGGTTGAGTATCAACATATTAATTAGCTGATGCAAAGGTGTATGAGCAATGCAGGGTGAACAGTAGCAAGTAGTGGGTACATGGATGAGCTTTAAATCGCTTTTCACAGATCCTTCTGTACTACATCCTGAGCACATGATCAGATTGCAGACCAGGGCCTATGGTGCAAAACTACTCATAGGTGTTTTTCAGAAGGCTTTTTAAAATTATATTACTAATGTCAGCAACAAAAGATTAAGAAGGACATTATCTTAATGACCTCTTCCATCACAGACTAGTGGGATCACAATTTACAAGGAAAGGTTAATGTTGATTTAGTATTCTTTGACCTGGGATAAACTTAAACTCAAGAACTATTAAGTCCCAAATTCCTCCAATGACATATAAGAGTTGTGAGTTGGCTGCTAGGAAGACATAACCCAGTGGGTTGCACTCCATGCCCGCAGGAGTGCTGGAGGTCAGTGGCCCTGTCTTACAACAGCATTTAATCTTCAAGATAGCTGGGAGTGGGTATTCAGATCATCTCTGCTGTCTAGTTTTTGCAGAGAAAAACTTACTATTTTCCATGCAGTACTATACTCAATCTCCTGTCACAACCTGTTATCAAGTTTTTGAGAGTCAAAGATCACCTTGCTGTGCTTCAACTTCAAAGGATAATTAAAAATTACCAATCTATTAAAAATGATAATGGTTATTTGACTTCAATAAATATTCTGAGATCAACACATGCTAAAAAGGAAATTAATCCTATCTGACTGCTAACTAAATGAAACTTTTTAGTCTAGCACCAGCTACTCTAAACATCTGTCAGCTCAGTAATTTTGAATTCAGATCTTAAGTGAAGTTAACCTGAAATTTAAGGGAGTTAAACAATTTAATATCCTATGTAAGGGAGACAGGAACTTTACTAATCTTCAAATTTTCTCAAGTTTCTCCTATCTTGAAAATGCTCAATTTTTAACAAGTTGTATCCAAAGGTATTTTACAAATTCCCAACAGCCTCATCTGGTAGTACCTGAAGTAATACTGTTCCTCACTAATAGAATATGAAGAAATTGGGGGATATATGTGAATTTTTCTATGACAGTTTTGTTCTCAGCTGAAGTAAATAAACATTTTAAAGTGTGTACACATACATATCATATCCCAACATTTATTGTAGGATGTGCAAATTAAAATTAAAAACTCTCCTGACTTTAAGTGGCTTCACGTTTTAGCTACCACTAGGAAAAAACACAAGAAAGTCAAAGTCACTGCTTGCCATATTGTTCAGTATCAAAGAAACATAAATCAACTAAATAATCATCATGTTTTTCTGGCTTCATGAAAATTAAGACATCAGAGTGATTTTAGAGTATAACCTCTGACAAGCTTGCTAATATATTCCTTTGCTACAAATACTAATCATACTTTAGAGTGAGCATAACTTGGGTAACATAAAGAGTTCAACACGTACATTCCACATATTAGTACAAGTGAACAGTTGTTAACAGCTACTTAACAGCGTACACAAAATAAAGCAATTTTCTATACACTATAGTTAAGAAATACCCAAAAGAAAGCTGTGTTTTTTAAAAAATCAGTCTAGCACCTTACATTTGTACAATTTTGTATATTACACTTGCCTGGTACACAGTCTATGTTTTGAAGTTTTGGACTAAAAAATGTCAAGTGAACTTAGAAAAACATCACACGAAGAGATAACTACAACACTGCATCTCCACACGACTTTCCCTGCAATATACATAGCAGTACTTCTATTTGCTTGGGTCTAAGTCTCCAGCTGCCTTCTCTACAGATTTTTATTTTGTATTACAGCAATCACAGTATGTATTTGGCACCTTGAAATCAACTTTTTAAAGAAGTAATATATATGCGATGAGAGTCTGAGTCACTCTTCTCATTACATTCAGAGGGACAGGAAGAAGTGTGGAAAAGAGTATTACAGGATAAGAAAATGTGATGGGAAAGAAGAATGAGGTAGAAGGAAAGAAAGAACTGGAAGACACTACAACACTGTCATTCTCCCAGTCCCTGCATTTGCCTTTCCTGACTTGGGTGGCGTGGCTGGAGCACTTGCTGTTGAAGACTGAGGCATATAGCTGTTGAGAACATCAGCCTTCTCTTTGCCCAAAGTAGCCAGGTCTCCCATTTCCCTGTAGAGAGGGCCAACAGTATTCCTAGTCTTTCTTTTCCTTGTAATAGATCTACAGAAGTCCTTCCTGTTATCCTTGATATCACTGGTCAGACTCAATTCTAACTTGGCTTCCCTAAGCTTACCCCTAGCTTCCTGTACAATTTCCCTGTGTTCCCTCCAGACCACCTGTCCTCATTTTCACTTTCTGAAAGCTTCTTTTTTGGTCTGAGTTTGCTCAGCAGCTCCTTATCCATCCATGGGGGCCTCCTGGCATTTTTGCCTGATTTCCTCCAATGTTGGGATGCATCATTCCTGAGCTTGGAGGAGGTGATCCTTGAAATTCAGCCAGCATTCTTGGGCCCCTCTGCCCTCCAGGGCTCCATCCCCTGGGACTCTACCAAGTAGTTCCTTGAAGAGGCCACAGGCTGCTCCTCCTGAAGTCCAGGGTAGTGAACTTGCTGAGTGCCATTTTCACTGGCCTGAGGATCTCAAACTCCACCATCTCATGGTCCCTGCAGTCAAGGCTGCCTCAGAGCACTAAATTCCTCACCCTCTTGGTGAGCACAAGGTCCAGCATGACACCTGTCCTTGTTAGCTCCTCAATCACTTGTGTAAGGAAGTTGTCATTGACACATTCGAGGAACCTCTGGGATTGCTTATGCCCTGCTGTGCTGTCCCTCCAACAGATATCAGGGTGGCTGAAATCCCCCATGACAACCAGGGCTTGTGAACCCCATGAGAACCAGGGCTGCTCCTGTCTGCCTAGAGAGGGCTTCATGCACACCATCCTCCTGATCAGGTGGCCTGTAGCAGACCCCAATATAACATCCCCTGTCCTCCCTTTAAACTTCACCCAGAAGTTCTCAGCTGTCTGCTCATCCTTCCTCAGGCAGAGTTCCATACTCTCCAGCTGGTCCTTGACAGAGAGGGCTACATCCCCTCCTTGACTGGCAGCATTGGGATAGATAGGTGCCCTCTCCTGAAAAATCTAGTTTAAAGCCCCATTCACCAGATTGGCAAGTCTCCAACCAAAGATACATTTTCCCTCCCTTGTCAGACCGACCCCACCACCTCCTCAGGAAATCAGGCTTAGGAAAGCAAGTCCCATGGTCTGAGTAAAAAATCCTGACTACAGTCCCATCACTTTAAACATCTGCTGACCTGTCAGATTCAGCTGACCATTTCGAGACCCTCTCCTTTGACCTGAAGGACTGATGAAAAAACTACTCGAGCTCCAGAGCCCTTTACTGACTCTGTAATCCCCCAGACTGCTGCAAGCTCTCACATGGAACACTAATAGTGGGTAATAATCAGTGGGTTTAACTAGGCTTGGCAGCTTCTCAGTGACATTCCTTATCCGGGCTCCCTGAAGGCAATACACCTCTCCTGAGAGCAGGTCAGGCCCTTAAGAGATGAACGTCTCATAAAGCAGAGTCACCCACTACTATCACCCACTGCCTTTTCTTGGTTGAACTAGTTGCTAATTTCTTTATTTGTGGAGCAGGTTGGGCTGCCCGAGTTAGCTCCCTCTGTGTCAGGTGTTGCCTCATTAGCCTGTAGAGCTACAAAGCTAACAAACATTCAGCTTGTACCTAACAAGTTTCCTTAGCAATCTCACAGCTATGTTGGGTAAAGAACAGGAAAACCGTAGAGCCTTTATGGACAAACATGAAGGAATCACAGTAGTCTGAACACATTGAAGAAAAATGGTTTCCATTGGTACATTCTTGTTTAGTTTCCTATTCAACAAAACCATTACAATGTCATTAAGATTTCAACTGTCAAATGTGTTACACTAATAGCAAAGTACCTTTGCTGCTCTTCTACCATTCATAGAAGAAAAACCCAGGTGTTTGAAGTTACATACCTCTTGTATGCTCTTATTCTTTTCCATGATAGTAAGAGCAACAGCTGCACATTCAAGTGTAGACAGACAGGTGTTTGTTGGCTGTGTACGAATTACATATTGACTTGAATGATTGGTTTTTAACTGCACCTGAAAAATAGTAAACTCTAGTAAAATAAACAGGTCAGGATAGCAAACAGGATACCTATTCTCTACACCAAGCAAAACACATCCCCTTTCCCTTTGTGGTCACTTGCCCTTTTTTTGCTGTTTAGCCTCCCAGTAGACAATGAACTTATGCTACTGTTAAGTGTAATACTGTAACACATGTGAGTCACCATCAGAAACAAAAACTGCACATTTGTTACTGTACAAACATGTAAAGGAAATACGACTGTTTCCTAGAGAAAGATTAAGTTAAATTTTAGCAACCACGGATATGCTATAACAAAAATAAAATTATTCACTCATGCTTGTTTTATTGCACACTCTAAACAGATACATAATCCCGTGCAATGTACAATGGCCATATAGTCACTAACACTATATACCTTGCCTAAATATTATTTGTCAAGTTCTGGATTAAAGATTTCTAGAAACTACACTTATTTATATAATGTACTAGGTCACTGATTAGGGCTATTTGCTTACCTAAATCACATTTGAAAATTATTTAACAGCTCTGCCTCAAGCAATAAACACTTTACACCTTGCAAGTTAAAGGTTTTTTAAAAAAAAGGAAATTTAATTCAACTACTACATGGCCTGTTTTATCAGCTCCAAAAGCTTTTATTAAGTTTATAATCAGTGGTTGAAACACCACAGAATTTACACTATTAGACTCTATGTGAAAATTCAGATATTATTCCTTTATTCCAAAGATTTCCATCTCCACATATACCTAAAATGTAATTTGCAAAACAAGTAATGTTTTAGCAATATTCCTAACCAGAAATTCTCAGTTCCTTTTCCAAAAAAATTCTAGTACAGAACCATAAAGCCTGATGAATTATTCTAAAAGAGCAAGGTTTTTTTTTATCTCATCCAAAAAACTGCCTTTTGATTCTTCCTGAAAAAATGAGTGACTGATTCCCATGGCCATCATCATATTGCTCCCATTTTGCTTGCCAGAAGTCTGTCAGCATTCCTCACTTCATTCAACACTTTCCCCCTTCACTTTCTCATTTTTGTTTTTATTTGTAATGTTTCATTTTCCTTCATCTCTTTTACATGCAATTACCCATTCTCTAAAGTTCAAAGTGGCTCATTTATAAAAGGAAAACTCCAAGCTGCTGAAGAAACATGAATGAATAAGATCAAATTCCACTGCTTTACCTGATCTCAATTTAATGGAAATAAAAAATAAGAAAATAAAAAGAAGGCAACAAGAGAAGAGAAAATGCACTCTGGAAAGTACAAGTAAGTTAGCTATAAAACCTCAATCTACTAAAATACAAGAAAAACCAGAAAACTGTAGCCTTTATCAACTACCTTCTTTAATTTGGTATTCAAAACCAAGAAAAGAATAAACGAATTTAGAAGACAAAATGTAGAATTTGGACATCAGCATATGTAATGAAATTAAAAAGAAAATTAAAAATTAAATTAAATTAAGATTTTCATTTGTCATTCCTCAAGGTTTTCTTTGGTTTTATGCTTCCTCTCCTGGCACCATGTATAGATCTTCATCACAACAGAGTAGGAACACTAGTTATTTGAAGTATACAGAAATCTATGCTGCCGGAAGCTTATAGTCCCTACTTAGAAACTTACAGACAGGTATCAAAAACCAGGTGAACTCAGTCCACCATTTCTCCAACATGTAACCTGAGCAGCAAAGCAGACATATACCCACACCTTTTCTCAACAGTCACATTCTTCACAGAGTATCTCTACAGAGGTCGAAACCGCCTGATGGACTACCTGCAGCACACAGGCTTCCCCCTCCTTGGGCAGTGCCTTAAGGTGCTTTTTTTGTAGAGTTTGGAAGTAGTTGTGTCTGCTGGTTTCTATACTTCATTTCTTGGGTGTCATGCTGAAAAATATTTACAATAATCAGCACTCCAGAGAAAGAAAAATTATTCATGATTGCAAGACAACTTCTACAGAGAAGAAAAGCTGCCTGCACTATGCCACACACTGTGGAGCTCAAAGGTCTGTAAGTTCAGCTCTCAAACAACAGACAATGTATAGAAGGGCAACTTTCTAGTTCTAATAGCAACAGCAGCAGCAACCAAAATCCTTCTTTCCTGGGAAGAATATGAAAGGATGGAAACAAGTGATGCCCATCCATTTTTCTGAAATATTACATATTCCCTGGGATAAGATTAAAATACCACAGACAGTGGTGGAGATAGAGGAAGAATACCCGTTCAGGACAACTTTCTGCTACAGTTTGTCTCTTTGGCTTCTTTCAGAATACACTGTACCCTAGTCTTTAATCCAGAGCAGCCCAGTATCTACATAAGTGATACTTAGTCATCTGAAATACAGTCAGGGTAGCCTTTATCTATCACAAATTGCACAGATTCACCAAAGTTTCTATCTGAAACTAGGGACATTCACTGAATCAATAAAACCGACAATGCGCTGCTAACTCACAGTATAAACTGAATGCTAAGACAAAGACAAAACAATACAGAAACTAAAACAAATTAGTATAGTTAATACTTATTTCAGACATGGGATGAATATCTTCTTAAAAAAAAATGCCTAGATATAGAAAATATTTACTGTTCTCAAACTTGACTGGGTAGGAGGATGACTTCTGTCATTTTCAGCCAACAGGTCTAAAACTTGTCTTGTCTTTTGTGGAGTTAATAATTTCAGGTAGGGTATTGCAACAGTCTCATGCAAAAGACATATGGATTCCTTGTCTGTCACTCGCATATCTCAAATCCAGGTGAAAAAGTTTAATTCAGATTTAGAGAAATGTTCATCTCCAGTTAATTTAAACAAAATCACATTATTTACCTCTGACATTAGACTTTAAAAACTCAGAATGAGCATACATAAATATCCTATTCAAGAACATTTCAAAACAACAATCATGATATTTTACAAGCACTTCTCCATTAAATAACAAATACCACAACACAGCAATTTACTTTTTTTCTTTTGCTTCAAAGAAATTTTCAAATCATATGTACACTCTAAAATAGTATTAGTTTCTAACAAAATATAGCAATGTCAAGTTGGAAAAACAGCAGCTGATTTAACACCACACACCTAAATAAACAATAACATAAGACAGAAGATGGAAACTATCTCAACCAATTCAAACTAGAGTGGAATTTAGATAAACTGAATGCAATTACTTGCTGGAATTTAGCCAAGACACTGAAATGAGTGTATCTATTCTCTGTAAGTTCAGGGGAGTTTGGGGACTTAAGTTTCCAAGCCATCAGAAATATGAAGCAACACATAAAATCAAATTTTATTTCTACTGTAACTCAACACCTGTGGTTTCCAAAAGCCTGAATTTCAGCAATTCTCACAAACTGTTACATTAACTTAATAAACACTGTTTTATCTGCCAGTGCACCACTCAATTAGCAAATGCTACAGACTTTGAGCATTTACAAAGGATTTGAACCACAGTAAAAACAGTGACCCTTCAGTGTTTCTCAGGGCTGAGTTTTTCTTCCTGGGCCTTCTTTGGACATACCCCAGGCAAGTAACGATCCCAGCTGATCCCACTCAGCTGTTCAAAGCTGATGGAAGAAAAAGTGTTGCCTTGATGGGGTCGAAGACCCACTGTTTGAAATTTTAAAAATTTAAGCCAGTAAAACCAGGAAATTGATTTCTGCTTTTATTTTAAATAACAGAACTGGAGCTCTCACAGAAAGCTCTAAGTGCTTTTCTCAGTCCCCTCCTTAATGTCAATATACTTAACTTTCTACCTTTTCTATGCCAATTTTTTCATCATTATTCTTACTAGCTTTACTTTCCAAATAGAATCCAGCATTATCCAAAATTATATTTGGAAAACATGCATCACCAAAAACTCAAAAAGGCTACAAAGTTAGTACACCTGTCTCACAGGGCACACTAAACAATTCTTGCCTGTCCTGTTGTCTGCAATAACACCACAGGCATCTCAAAACAGGCAGAAGCACAACATATTCTTCTGTGGCTTCTACGAAAAACCTAGTACTTAAGATCCCCTCTTTTTTACTTACATGTCTTTACAAAACCTGAATTTCTATTTGGGAATTAATCTGCTAAACTCTCCAAGAATGAAGCAAGCAAGCACCATCTGTCCTCCTGCTTAACATAGGCAGTAGTTATTGTTCATACGTTCTATTACATTAATAAGTATCTTTCAGAATTTTTTTAAACAAAAGGCACAAAAAAATCCCAGAAAGAGCACAACCATATCCTGCCATCTTCCCTGTCCTTCTAGAAACTAAGAAAAAAATTGCTTTTAAGGTGCTGAGGGGGAAGAGCATTTTCTGTGTTCTACAGCACAAACAAACTCAGACAGATGATGGGTGTCAGGTATGGAAAGATTTTTCACTCAGTATCCAGTTGGCACAAGCACCTTTTACCTGTAAGCTAAAAGAAATTTCTCTTTTTGACGAAATTTCATACAGTTAAATAAAATTACCTTTCTGCCAGAGAAGACAGCCTGAGTAAATTGAGTCTCAGCATGCTACTGAAATTTAAATCAAGAATATAAATAAATTATTTTGTTCAAAATCTTGGCTTTAATTTAAAGTGACATCTTAAGAGCACTCTGTTTCTAAAACACTGGAGGGAATAACTGCCATGCAACTGTCACAAATGGACAGCTGGAAAAAGCATACGAAGCTGTCACAAAACCCTCTATCCACCTTGCACGACTTTCATGACTGGAAAAAGAGAAATATAGCCCCCATTATTAAAAAGGGGAATGCAGAAGACCTGGTGATCTACAGACCAGTCAGTCTCACCTCTGTGCCAGGCAAGATCATGGAGCGGATACTCTTAAAAACTGTGTATGACGGTGCTACAGCTCTGGTGGACTGGGGCAGAGGAACTGACATCACCCATCTAGACTTATCCGAAGCGTTTGACACTGTGCTGCTGGAGAGACATAGATTTGATGGATGGGCCACATGGTGGATAAAGAACTGGCTGTATTGATGCACAAAAAGAGTTGTGGTCAA